ATTTACCTGGAAAAACACATATTTAGATGAGCTATGTCAGATGAGTAATTGTGATATTAGTAGCGGTCTTGGAGCAGTAGAATGGCATTCTAGGTGGCTCCTGTTAAATCCCTAGCCTTTTTGTCACTATTTTCCTTCCCCTGTGTCTTCCAGGAAGGGTCTCCATTTTCCAAAATGTGTTCGAGGAGTGTTCTGTCCATTATATTGTTTGGAAGGTCACACTTGGATCCTAGAAAAGCCAGGGAGGTATTATTATGACAAATATTCTGGCATAGTAATAATAATAAGCAATGAGCAACACTTTTAGCAAAAGGCAGCTTTGATTTGTTTCTTTTACGAAGAACTGATTAGTAGTTTTGCAACTGAGAGATAAAAATGGTGATTTTGTTGGAGGAGTGACAGTATTTCAAAACCTTGCAGATTACTTTTCACCAGTTTGAAGGAGGCATTGGAAACCATGAAAATGCAATGCGCCCTTCTCAATAAAACATGAAGTTCTGCATCCAATCTCCAACTTGTCTCCTACATCCATACTATTTCTTTAACAAACAAGGTTCAAAAGATATTTCTGCTATGGCTGTCATTTCTGATATCATAATTTGAAACTCGTGTCTCAGGGGAGTAGTTTACATAAGGCAGGTACAAACATTAAAACAAAATGACAGTTAAGTTTGGAGTTTTTGTTTCCAACCAAATCCTTAAAAATAAGGACTATCAAAAATTCTATTAATAGTTGAATTTATTTGGGGTACTCATAAATTTAGCATTTTGAATGAATATCTACTTTAAATTTTGCACGATTTTTTGTTCATAGCAAACTTTTGTGTAATTGTCCCAATAACCTGCCTCCTGGGAGTGGCTGCCAGGTTTCTGGCTGCAGTGGAGCGTGCTCTGCTTGGTCTCCTTACGTCCTCTAAAGTGCATTAAAACTGTTAAACACCAAAGAGATTCACTTTTCTATTTGTGAAAGCTGCGAACTATATTTTGAAACATGGAACTGTTTTACCCCTTCTGCTCTCAGAGCCCTAGCATCAAAATTCTCTCAGTCCACACACAAAGTCAAGAAACTTATTCTGTCCTTAATGCTGCGAATCTTCAGAATAACCCTTTCTGTCTAATGAAACCGAGAGTTAAAGCCAGTATTTAGAGGCATGGATGGTCAGACAATTAAATGAGTTACCCTCTACCCCATTTGCATTATTTGGCTATTTATCTCAATTCCTGAGAGTAACCACGAGATTTGAATAGATTACCTGCCTGAAAATAGTCCTGCTATCCGCTTGTTTTCTGAAGTAGCAAATCAGTGGCATCAAATTGGTCAGTTATGACCTACTTCTGTCTTTTCTTGCTGGCTCTTTATTCTATTTCTTGTGGTGCTTCTCTGATGGAAGTTTCTCTGCCATTTCACCTGATAAAAACAATTTTGGGGGAAATTTACTCCAAAAAGCACTTGTAAGAAGGAAAAAGTGGTCCACTTCATAAAGGTGCGATATATTCAGTAAGAGCCAAGTTATAAAGCTGGTGAGGAGAGAGCGGAGCACTTAGACATGTAAATGGCCAAGTTAAACACAAGACAGAGTTAGGATATCTGGACCCTCACGTGTTCATAAACCCATACCAGGGGTCTCTAGAGAGAAATGGTGGGAACCAGGGAGAAAGACAGCCCCAAAATACCTTGTTTAACTTGGCTGTCACAGTAGCTAGCCCTTTGTAACTTGGCACATTTTGAAGTTATCACACTTAGAATTGACCTTTTTCCTTTTTCCCATTTACCTTCTTTTGTACTTATAAAGTGTTTTTTTTTTTTAAGGAGAAGTAATTTATTTAGAGGTGGCAAAAATATAATGAGGTGGCAAAAATTCAGCTCTCAATTTAAAGAAGAAATGTAAACTATAGAATTTGAAAGAAAAGGCAATGGGTTTTAAGTCCATAACCTTTCAAAAGTCAGAAAACCTATCTACTAGGCTGTATTCTCCGGTGGAAAAGCTCTTGAAATTGTAGGTGTTAAAAAAGCCACTGCAGGGAGCTTGTACTAGCTCCTAAATTTAATAGAAACATTAAACTCTCCAATCCTTATTTAAACACATTTTTTTTCAAAGTCAAAAATATATTTCCTTATAGGTAGACAGGTGAAGTATAACTAAAAAAAGAAAAAAAAAGTGGTTCTCTTGTACTCTGTGTTTTATTTATTAAAAAACAAAAAAAGCAACTCCTTATCACTAGAGGTTCAGTTTTGGTTTTGGAGATGATGCCATAGTAAGGAAACTATTGCATTAAGACAATAATAGTTTGCTTTTAATTAAAACCTGCAATATAGATTTTTGCTCAGAATTATTTTTAGATAAATGAAGCATGACTCCCTTTTTTAATAACTAGATTTAACCTAAAGTTAAAGTTTTTAAAAAAATATTGAGAAAATATCTACATATATTTTTCATAATTGTGAGGGCAAAATACTAATTCTGCAGCACACAGCAATGTATGCATTTACTTTTGGATT